TGGATACCAGGGTCCCTAGGCTGCACGGGGCTCTTGGGGGCCGGGCAAGGAGCAAGGCGTCCCCCGCCCTTGGATCTGCATTGGAGCCTGGACGCGCATCCTGAGCACTCTCACCACCTGGGGTCGCTGACCAGCGCACCCAGGCCCGGCCGGCCGCGGTCCCCACCATGGGGCCCCAAGAGTCCAGCCCGCCAGACTTTGCCCACCCGGAGCCTGGCTGTCCAGCGGTGCCCTCCCCACGCCCATTCTCTAGGGGGTCTAGGAATCCATGCCCAGCGCCTGTCTCGCCACCCTTAATCTGATTCCTTTGGGTCTCCGGAGTTTAGTCTCCCAACTTTGTTCCGCTCCCTCAAGGGAGAGTCAAGTCCCCGCCCACCCCCTCGAGGGTCAGATGCTCGACGCCCAGCCAGGTCCCCAACTCCCCGCCGCTTGCCTCCCAGAGCCCGTGCGCCCCCGGCCCCCCACCCCCAGGGGGCGGCACTCACTTTCCCCTACCACCGCCTTCAGCCCCGAGGGCGCCATCTTTCCCTAGGGGCGCCGCCGCTTCCGGGTCTGTCCCAAGGTGGGGGCGTGGCCCTCGCGTCATCCACGTGGACCCCGCCCCGCAGGGCCGGGGCACGCCCCCTGCCCACCTGGCCCCGCCCCTCCACCGGTTCTCGGAGAAGTTGCGTTCCCTGCTGAAATGACAGGCGAAAGCGTCCCTGCAGACACTGCAGACACCTTCAAAGTCGCTGGAGGAGCACGCCCCGACGACACGTTCATAGGCGTGAGCTCAGACACACTTTCCTAGCTTGTGTGCAGAGAGAAAGTGGGATCGCAAGGCAATATTAACCCCTTTATCTTCCCCAGGCATAGTTCCACCCTGGCAGAAATTTCTTCCTTGTGTCTGAAGGATACTGTGTGTGCCTACCTGGAGCTACGGGACCGCAAACCGGTGATCCACTTACCTTCTGTTCCCGAGTTTAGTAGCAGCAATGGACTTGGGCAACACTTGATAACGAGACCTGGGGGGAAGGTTGGAGCTAAGCCAGCAATTATTGGGTGCTAAGTTCTCAGTTGGGGCTTCTCTGGTGGCTCAGATGATAAAGAATCTGCCTGCAATGCAGGGGTTCGATTCTTGGGTCGGGAAGATCTCCTGAAGAAGGAAATAGCAAACCCACTCCAGCATTCTTGCCTGGAGAATTCCATGGACAGAGGAGTCTGGCGGGCTACAGTCCATGGGATCACGAAGAGTCTGACATGACTGAGCAACTGAGACGCACACACAGGTTCTTAGTCGACGCTGCAGAGGCCCTGATGGGCAGTGCAGGTTGGACAATGAAACCGCAGCTTGGACTGACCCTTGTCCAAGGCCGGTGATGAATAGGCCTATTGCAGTCTGAAGCACAAGTCAGTCCCAGGAGGTATGCTAGTCACAGCCTTGCTGATGCACACTTGAATTCACTGGCATGTTCAACTGCTTGCACACATACACACACACACTCTCAATTTTACACTCGACTTGAAATTTCAGGGCCTTTCCCGGCTGTGTGCCAGCAAAGGGCTGACACTTTGTCACACAGCCAGGCACAGTCCAGCATCACCTCCTTTTGATGAGGATTTAAGGTGTGACACTCATGTGTGGATGCAGACTCCTGAGCTGGCTCAGTCCTGAATGCGTGCTTTTATTTGGCCGTGTTTTTCTTTTAAGAGTTTATCCAGGTGCCAGGCCCTCTGCCACTTTCACAGGATGGGCATGGGACTGACTATAATGAATAAGACCAGAAAGCCTGCCAGGCACACTTAAAGTTGAATGGAGGAGGAGGGGAGAGAATGATCAGTTATGCCTTAAGGAAATAAAGTGACTCGATAGCAAATTTAGGGGTGGGGTGGGGCACTCTATTGGGGGTGATGCCAGAGGGGTATCCTGAGGAGGTGATCTTTTAACCCTGAATGATACTAGGGAGCAGCCGTGCATAGAGAAGCAGGGGATGAGATTGGAGGAGTGGCTGGAGTGAGATGAGAGTGGTGATGCCCCTCTCCCTGACAGAAGCTGAGGTTGGAGGGGCCACAGAGACCAGACCCCAGTGGGACATGGCAGGACTAACCTAGCCCAATTTACATGGGATTGAGAGGTTTTCAGGACCCAGGGCTTTCAGTGATAAAACTGGGACAGTCCTGGACAAACCAGGAGGGCTGGCCTCTCTACAAAGGAGCTTGGGTTTTTCTTTTTTCGTTTCTCTCTCTCATCTTCTCTCTCTCCCCCTCTCTACCATCATTTTTTTCCTCTTTGTTTCTTAGCTTTATTACAATATAATTCACATACAATTTAACCACAGAGAGGGGACAATCAATTGCTTTTGCCATATTCATGGTTGTGTATCCGTTACCTGTCAATTTAAAGTTATTTACTGAAGTATAGTTGATTTACAAGGTCAATTTCTACTTTACAGCAAATGATTCAGATATACATGCACATTCTTTTTCATATTATTTTCCATTATGGTTTATCACAGGATATTAAATACGATTTTGTGCTATACTCTATATAAAAGTTTGCATTTGCTAACCCCAAACTCTTAATCCATCCCTCCTCCACACCTCCTTGCATTTGACAACCACAAGTCTCCTTTCTATGTCTGCTAGTCTGTTTCTGTTATGTAAATAATTTGTGTCATATTTTAGATTTCATACATGAGTGAAATCAGATGGTATCTCTCTTTCTAACTTACTTCACCTAGTATAATAACCTCTAGGTCCATGTTTCTGCAAATGGCATTATTTCATTCTTTTTAATGGTTGAATAATATTCCATTGTGTATATGTACACATCCATCTGTTGATTCTCCATCTGTTATCCATTCATCTGTTGTTTCTGTGTTTTAGCTATTGTGAACAGTGCTGCAGTGAACACTGGGGTGCACGTATCTTTACAAATTACAGTTTTCCAGATCTATGCCTAAAAGTGGGATTGCTGGATCATATGGTAGCTCTATTTTTAGTTTTTTGAGGAACCTCCAATACTGCTCTCCATAGTGACTGCACTATCTTATATACCCACCCACAGTGTAGGATGGTTCCCTTTCCTCCACATCCTCTCCAACATTTATAAGATTTTTAAATGATGGCCATTCTGACCAGCATCACCAGTCAAGTTTAGAACATCTCCATGATCCCATGGTGTTCAGGTTTTCTCCTGAGGACAATGGGGGCCAAGGGAGGGTTCTGAGTGGGGGAGGGAGGGGACCCCTGTGGTTCCTGAGAGGAAGGATGGATTATAGGGGCAATGGTGGGGGGGGGGCGGGGGGCAGGGNGCGGGGGGCAGGGAGGGGTGGAACTGGAAAACCCAGAGGAAGCTGGGACCACCTCTAGCGTCTCAGTCTGTCCCCTGGTGGCGAGACTCTGTAGGGTCTGGCCTCACTCTACAGGTGAGGATAATCAGGTCTTCCGATGCTATGGGCTCAAGGGTGTGCTAACCACCCCCTTGAAGGAAAAAAAAGTATGTTACAGTCCTTACTCCCAGCACCTTAGAATGTGCCCTGTTTTGGATATATGGTTTTTGCAGGTGCGGTTAGTAAACGATGAGGTTGTGCTGCGGTAGGGTGAGTCCCCAAAGCACTGTGACTAGTGTCCATGTCTTAGGACAGCCGTGTTGAAACAAGTACATGAGGGGGACGTCTGTGATGACAACGGCAGAGACTGAAGTCCTGCAGCGACAAGCCACAGGAGGCTAAGGACTGCCGGCAGCCACTCGAACCCAGGGAGATGCAAGGGAAGATTCTCTCCTCTGCATGGCCCTGCCAACACCTGGATTTTGGACTTCTGGCCTCAGGAACTGTATGACGATAAATGTCTGCTGCTCTAAGCTACCTCATTTGGCACACTTCGTTAAGGCAACCTGGGGAACTAATATGTCTGGGGAGGAGCAGGACATCACGTTGGCATTTGGGGTCATGGGGCCACGGAGAGGATGTGGACAGGGGCTCCAGAGGGCAGTGGGCTGTCTGGGGAGGAGGACCAAGCTTTACAATCGGGCAGAGATGGTCATGGTGCAGCCCCTTTATAATGAGAATAAGCTTTAACTGGTTTCCAGAAAGGCATCCTGGGGAGGGGGTGGGGTGCACATGGGGTCCTCCCAACAGCACCCTCTCTCGGGGCACTGATGAGGAGCCACAGCTGCTCAGGGGAGGGGGTGGGGTTTCCTTCTTGCCTCCCTCGCCAGGACTCTAGCCTCTCATCCCTAATCGGGACTGGGGGAGGGGGGTCAAATGGGAGGAGACAGGTCCACTTGGCATTGGTGATGGGGAGACAGGTGCTTTCACAACTTCCTGTTTTTTTGGGGGGAATGGGGGTGGGGACAACCAGGCCTGGGGACAGTAGGAGAAGGGGTGGCCAGGAGACAGAGGTGGAGCCAGGCTAGCTGGTGGTGGCTCAGGTGTCCTTGAGCTTCCTCTCCTCCCACCACCTGTGGATGCAACTGCCTTTCCAGCAAATATGGTGGGCAAGGTGGATGCAGATCTCATCTGAGCTGTCCCATGGTCCAGTCCTTTCCCAAGGGGGTCCAGTCAGCTCAAGTTCTCCACTGTGGGGACCCTGCACCCCACCTCAGAGTCCATGAGGCCCAGCAGGTCCTAAACCCAGGTCACCCTGCCTCCTGCCCCCACAGCAACCCCAGCCTCACGCTGCAAAAACAATTATCTGGATCATCTTTATGGGGCTTAAGCTTGGGTGGGAGCAGATGGGGCATGAGCTAGGGATTTGGGGCTGGGTATCCACTACACACACCCTGCCCCCCCCCCCCCCCCCCCGTATCCCAGTCTCTTAAAAAGCCTTCTCTGGCCTGGGGCTGGGGCAGAGGCCAGCGGAGAGGTGGACGGGATCCAGGGGAGGGGAGCAGGGACAACGATGAACCAGGAAGAGGAGGATGTGGGCTCAGCCTGTGGCAAGGTGAGCAGGCCCCACCCCCCCCACCCCCCACTCAAGGGCCCGTGAATGACAAGACTAATTCGTTTGTAGGGCACCTAATTAGCAAGGAGTCTTCTGGGACCCCTGACCCAGTTGCCACCTAAGAAGGTATAGGAGGGCACTTGAGGTTCTGAGTGCCTAATCCAGCCCCCAGCGAGGTCAGGGCTCTCAGTGATGACCCAATGGGGGGAGGGGGCTGGGATAAGGGAGCGGCCCCTGGGAAGGTCCCCTGGTTAGTGTCCGAGTCTCAGGCTGCCCCGCAGTCAGACCCCTATGTAGGACGTCAGCCCTCTCTCTCGGGGTAGCGCTGTAGTCACGTGGCACTGCTGGTGGGGTCCCCTGGGGCAGGGGCCAGGGCGAGATTGAGAAGGAGACTCATGTCTCATTTGGAGCAGCTCTGCAAAGCAGCACATCGGCGGGGACCATGGTGAGAGCCACGGAGAAGCTCAGGGCTGGCCCGGGAGCCAGGTGGAAGCTGGCTGGCTGGGTTGAGGGGTCTCCTGGCTGAGGGCCGGCTGGACTGAGCATGTCTGTTCCCCAGGCTGGCTCCCCAGACCAGGAGGGCTTCTTCAACCTGCTGAGCCACGTGCAGAGCGGCCGGATGGAGGAGCAGCGCTGCTCGCTGCAGGCGGGGCCAAGCCCAGCCTCTGACAGCCGTGAGAGTGGGCAGCAGGGTGTGCAGAAGTGGCTGTGATGTGGGTGGCCGGGCATGAATGGGGCAAGTGGCCACCTGGGGGACCTGTGGGCAAGAGTCTGAGAAAGTGAGGCGGTGACTAGGGACAGAGATGCCCATGGGTTGGGGGCAGATACCAGCATGCTTCTTGGAGGATGTGAGTGGGGGGTGGCAGGGTGGGCTGGGGGGCTCCAGCTGGGCTGCCTGAGCTCCCCATGGCCTCGGCTCCACGCAGAGAGCGGCCCTGCACCCGAGATGGACAGCCTCATGGACATGCTGGCCAATACCCAGGGCCGCCGCATGGATGACCAGCGAGTGACGGTCAGCGCCCTGCCTGGCTTCCAGCCTTTAGGCCCCAAGGTAGGTGATGATCTTCCTGGGCTGAGGAGAGACCAACCAGGCTGAGGCCTTTAACCCTGCCTTCCACCCCCAGCCAGGAGTGCAAGGGGCCCCACCCCCACCTCTGTCCGTCCATCATCTGGTAGGAGCACTCATCCTGAGTCCCCGCCAGTCACAACACCCCGGTGGATCCAATACCCCAGTTCGGAGGGAGGGCAGAGGCCCAGACAGGGCTGAAAAGGGATCAAGGTCATGTCTGGGGCATGTTCAAGTCAGAGACATGGCGGGAACTCAAGGCTCCTGAGCCCGGGTGTCTGAGAGCTGTGAAGAGGTGACGGAGAATAGACCCCTCCCTGGGAAGGCACCCCGAGGGTAGAGGACAGGTGAGCTTGTGCAGAGGACGCATCCAGACCCCCACGGGTCCACATCACATATACTTGCCCACAGCTTGGCTTCTGATCAGGACCCCAGTGAGGCCCCCAAGACCCACCAGCCCCAAAATACCACCCTTAATATTGAGTAACCGAGAAGCACAGAGGCTCAGGGATGGTGGGAGCAGGTAAGGGGAGGGGGAGGTGTGACTCAGTTGCCATCTGCCGCCTCCCTCCAGTGTCTGTGTCCCTTCTGGCTGGCACTACCCTCGCCCCTCTCTCTGGTTGACCCCTGTGTATCAACAGGACGGAGTGCAGAAACGAGCTGGGACCCTCAGTCCCCAACCCCTGCTCAGCCCTCAGGACCCAGCTGCTCTCAGCTTCCGTCGGAACAGCAGCCCCCAGCCCCAGACACAAGCCCCCTGAGGGCCTAAGGCGTCCTGGGCCCCCCATGGCCCCCGAGAGCTGAAAATAAAGCACTTCCATGAGCAACAAAGAACCGTGTGTGTGTTATTCTGTGGGGAGGGCTGGAATTCCGGTTCGTGGAGGCCTCAGGGGCTCTGCTGGGCAGCACGAAGGAGTCTCTCCTCCCGCTGCTTCCGTATCCTCTCTTTGAATTCTTCTAGCTCTCGGCGCTGGGGAGGTGAGATGGGAAGGAAAGAGAGGCAAATGCACCTCAGGGTCTCGATCTTGTTCCCAGCCCGCCTCCCCTTAAGCCCCCAGATCGTGGCTTCAGAGCTCACTGTCTACAATGAAGCCTATGTCAATTACAACCCCAGATTAGCCTCAACCTTCAGGGGGTTCCCTGATAGCTCAATTGGTAAAGAATCCATCTGCAAAGAAGGATACCCCAGTTCAATTCCTGGGTCAGGAAGATATGCTGGAGAAGGGATAGGCTACCCACTCCAGTATTCTTGGGCTTCCCTTGTGGCTCAGCTGGTAAAGAATCTGTCTGCAATGTGAGAGACCTGGGTTCAATCCTTGGGTTGGGAAAATGCCCTGGAGAAGAGAAAGACTACCCACTCCAGTATTCTGGCCCAGAGAATTCCATGGACTAGTCCATGGGGTCGCAAAGAGTCAGACGTGACTGAGCGACTTTCACTTTCACTTCACTTTCACTTTCAGGGAGAGGGCAGTTAAGGAAATCATATGTCCCTCCACTCTAGGTTCCCTGCCCACGACTGAGGATCTCATCGTGGCCACAGGAATCCAGGCCCCGCCCCCCTCCGGTGGGAGAAAAATTACATGGCTTACCTGGTCCTCCTTCTCAGGGGGCCACAGCTCCCTCTGTAGGGACAAAGTCACAGAGTCACAAGCCAGAAGCCTCTAGAGCCCCGCATCCAGGGCAGGGTCGGCTCAGGGGAGGCTGACCCTGGTCCCTCATACCCTTCCTCACCCCCTGGAATGAACCGGTGCCCACCTTGCGCTGTATGACATAGTCCTCAAACCACTCGGCCTGATTGGCAATCCAGAACATAGCCACAGGGAAGGTGAGGTAGATGGTCATCTGGAAGGGAAGGGGACGGATGAGTAGTCAGGAATGACCATCCCCGCCTCCACCCCTACTGTACAGAGGCTGCTCAGAGTCTGGAAGACCATCCTCTGGCCGAGACGAGGTTTTTCCTCAGGGCTCTCCAGAGCCTCAAAACTCCCATCAAGGATACAAAAGTCAGTAAGTCTAGTCCCCAGAACCCAAGAGCCACCCCCCCCCCCACCCCGAAAGCACCCTCCGAGTCTGGAAGACGCTTTCTCAAAGAAACACAGACATACTGGCCCCAGGAGCAGAAGAACTCTACTACAATAAAGGCATCTCTCTGAGACCTCAAACCACCCCCAGCTAGATTCCAGAGCACTCTGACCCAGAACTCATTCTTCAGAGTCTAGGAGTCGGTCTAGGAGAAAGACGCACACCCACTGTAAACCCGAGAGCTCCACCAGAGCCTTTAATCTTCCCTCTTAGAGCCTCCTCCCCAGGTCACATCTCTCAGAGGGCTTTCCTCACACCTCCCCTCCCAGAGTCCCCAACCCAGCGCCCCCTCCTCTGCGTCTCCAACTGTAAAGGTCCCTTTCAAATCTCTGGGGCTCTCGCCCCAGAGCCCCTCTCTTGGAGGCCCCCCTTTTCAGAGCCTTCTCCTCATACAGGAAGAACCCCGCGCCCAGCCTTCCGACTGCTCGGTTGCTCACTGACCCGAAACACCTCAAGCTTCACCCCCATGTTTCTCCTCTTAGGCTTCACAGCCGCTTCCGCCCAAAGCAAACCATCCAACAAGACAGTAGGTCATTGGGAGTCCGCGGGCTGCACTGCTAAAACTGATTGGTCCGAGTAGCTTTCTTCATGACGTCATCTTAGAGCGCTCGCCTCTGCTTCCGGTAGCTGGGGCAGTCGAACGGAAAGTCAACAACACCTGGTACAGGATCGGGAAGAGTTCAGCCAATGGGAAATTAGTCTGGTTCGAGAGAGCTGGCCTTTAGGCGTAGACGTCATCATACCGCGACTCCTGTCCGTACCTGGAGAGCTTGGAAAATGGTGGTGATGGCGCGGCTCTCGAGGCCCGAGCGGCCGGACCTTGTCTTCGTGAGTCCGCGGCGGGCCGGGGGTGGCATTCATAGGGGCACCAGGGCTTAGATACCTCAGGGGATTGGGGCTTGGCCACTCGGGGTATTTAGGCTAAAACTGTGCCGGTCTGAGGGCAGGAGAACCCTTAAGGGCCGAAGACCGGCTGGTGATGTCTGGACCAGGCTGGTCAGGAGCAAGGATCTGGTGCCGGAGCCCAGGTGACCTGCGTAAAGAGCAAGTGGTCGAAGTTAAGGGCCTGGCATCCCGGACCTGGGACGGAAATGGGAGTGCGCGGGATGTGGGCGGGAAGGGAAACTCATGTAGCTAAACTTTGAGAGGCCTGGTGTTTGAAGTAAAAGCATGGTGACCAGTCCAGGGCTGGTTTCATTGGTAAAATCTAAGTGTTCCAGGTAACGGTCCAGGTCTGGTCCTGAGCGTTATAGTTTTTGGGATAAAGGCATGGTGTCTGGACGGGGAGAATCTTGGGAAAAGAAGTAAAGACCTAGTGATGTGGAGCTGAGTGGGCGACGGCCAGTAGAATCCTGGAGAGTCAAAGTCGTGGTGTTTGGAGTAGAGGCGTGGCATTTTCACCAGATTGATCCTTGGTGTCTTGAGTTAAAGGCTAGGGAACTTGTCCGTACCTTTCTTCCTGAGATAAGGATCTAGCTTCCAATTTCTGAGGCAGAGTTGAGCTAAACTGGCTGGTAGTATCCTGAGATGCCAAAGGTCTGCTGTCTGGGGAGAGTCATGCTCTGAGGAGGTAAGACTTGGTGACTAGGGTAGAGGCCTAGTGTCGGACCAGAACCTTGGTGCCTGTAGAGTCTGGTGACCTGGGCCAGAAAGTGGATAGCTTGATTTGGAAGGCCAAGAGAGTGATGTCTGGGTGATAGTCTCATGCCTGGCCTGGAACCCGAGTGACCTGGAACCTGGTGACCGAGGAGTCTGATAGTGTGATAGTCTGGGTCACGTTGTAGGTCATCAGATTCTGAGAGGTAAAAGTCTGGCCCAGAGTCCTGGTATCTGGGTGACTGGGCTCCAGTGGTGAGCAGTGGCATCTGGGACCTGGGTAGGGGTCCCAGTAGGAGTGGTGCTGTGTGCAGGCTCTGAGAGCAGATCTCTTCTCCCCATACCTTGCCCCTGGCAGGAGGAAGAGGACCTCCCCTATGAGGAGGAAATCATGCGGAACCAGTTCTCTGTCAAGTGCTGGCTCCGCTATATCGAGTTCAAGCAGGGGGCCCCCAAGCCCAGGCTCAATCAACTGTATGAGCGGGCGCTCAAGCTGCTGCCTTGCAGGTGAGATTGGCAGCAGCTGCCCTGTCTGGCCCCGCCCCCTGCCCCACCCTACCTTTTCCCATCACACCAGAACTGGCTAGTAGGTCCCAGGTCCCTCCTAGGTGTTGTGTCAGCGAGTAAACATCCCAGGAATCGCTGAGCACACCTTCCCTGATGTCCTGGCCGTTTTCCCCAGGCCCCTTCTCCCAGCACTCGTCTCATAGGGCAGAGGGGAGGGTCCTGGGAGTCCAGAAAAGCTGACCAGTCACTGCCCCTCCCTCCACCTCCCAGCTACAAACTCTGGTACCGCTACCTGAAGGCCCGCCGGGCACAGGTGAAGCATCGCTGTGTGACTGACCCCGCCTATGAAGATGTCAACAACTGCCATGAGAGGGCCTTTGTGTTCATGCACAAGGTGGGGAGGGGGCATGGCTGGGCCAGGGAATGAGTAGGGAGGTGGGGCTCAGAGTCCACAGAGGTGGACAAAGCAGGGGTGGGAATTCTGTGACCTCTGTGCATGCCGGGCTGAATGAGACTTAGTTCCCGGGGCACTGGGGTTCTGGGTCCTGCTGCAGGGGACATCCCGCATCCTGGGGCCCAGTGGTGAGGCTGGCAGCTCAGCCCCTCCTCTCCCCCACCCCTCCAGATGCCCCGGCTGTGGCTGGATTACTGCCAGTTCCTAATGGACCAGGGACGTGTCACGCACACGCGCCGAACTTTCGACCGGGCCCTCCGGGCATTGCCCATTACCCAGCACTCTCGTATTTGGCCACTGTACCTGCGCTTCCTGCGCTCACACCCCCTGCCTGAGACTGCTGTGCGGGGCTACCGGCGCTTCCTCAAGGTGAGCCCCTGAAAAGGGCGAGACGGGGCCAAGTTCAGGCAGGTGGACCAGTTCCCCAGGTCAGGACTTTCCAAAAACGGGCTTGTTGGGGGCACTGTCTGCCCTGACAGACAGGAAATGGGAACATGCCTCGTTGAGACAGACAGGCCTTTGTTTGTGAGTTCTGTGTTCAATCTCCAGAGAGTTTGCGAGCATCCACTCCACATCAGGCATTGGGACACGGGTGCTGGGGACAGCGTGGCTAAGACAGTCCCTGCTTGCATGGAGCTCTCAGTCTCACCTGGCAGACAAATGCTTACGACCTGACTGCATAAACCAGAGTAAATCTGCAACCATGAGAGCGCAGGGAACAGGAGATAAACACATACCAGGCAGGGCTGAGAGTCGAGGGGCAAACAGTGTGGAGGCCTCATGCGGTTTCCCCAAATTTATAGTCTCTTCTGCATCGTGAAATCCTTAGTGCAGTGCTGTTTTAGGTAGGGGGCTTGTGATGAAAGCAAGGCCTGGTCTGTGCAGGCTGGACCGCTGGTGTCTAACCCAGACCAGTGAGGGCTGGAACTGGACTGGTGAGGGCTGGGGCTAGACAGGTACAGCGCTAGCTCCTGCCCAGGACAGTGGTGGGTGGTTGACCGGAGGAGGGGTGGGAGGAGGCATGGTGGTATGGCCTTGTGGCCCCACTGACAGCCGGTGGTGTGTGGGTGCCCAGCTGAGCCCTGAAAGTGCTGAGGAGTATATCGAGTACCTCAAGTCAAGCGACCGGCTGGATGAGGCGGCGCAGCGCCTGGCCACCGTAGTGAACGATGAACGCTTCGTGTCAAAGGCC